CCCGTTAGCAGTATGAACCGGATAAACGTGCAGGATGTAGCGTCAGTGACTGATAAAAGCCGGGGGGGGGGGGCATGGTGTGTTCTATTCGTAAACCCTTCTAGGGGAGTTCTAGAAACTTCTACTGCTTTCTGAAAAAAAGTGCAGAGGTTAAACGTGCCATTTATTATCATGAATTGTATGTTTTTTTGTCATTTTAATATGAATAACAGCAGCTATAACAATGTTGATTCTTGGCAGAGAGCCGACCTGTTAAATGTACCCCCCCCCCTCCCTAATCCCCGTGTCTTGGCCCCCCTCTGCTCAGTTTGCTAAGTGTGAAGCTCCTGATTGGTGCCTGACCAAAGCACATGCATGTCGCATCCCTATAGGCCGCGACCTGGCGAGTACCACCCTGCCCGGGTATCCGCCTCACGTGCCCCCTGCTGGACAGGGCAGTTACTCCACCCCTGCGCTGACCGGCATGGTACCTGGTAAGCACACCAAATGTTACCTTTTTTTGAATATGTCCCCAATTTGCATTCAAAAATATTTTTCTAACTTAAAACCTCTTTCTTTTAGCCCCTTGTCCCCATAAGCAAATGTGCAAAGTGTGGTTTGGTCGTAATCTGATGTGCTCGCCCTTGTTTGGATGACATCACAGCCCATTCCGTCCACATCTGGGAAGTTTGATTCATAATGTGATCGTTACTGAGCTATTCCCACCAAATCCTATGAAACAAATTCCACCAAGTAACTGCTGGAGCCAAGGGCAAAGCGTAGCGCCCCTTCGGTGCCTGGAAAGGGACTGATCTTTCTGGCCGGATATTTGTGACATTTGGACACCGGTGGGTCTGTTTATATCATGGGATACATTGACGGTCACTAGACCCCGTTACTTGATGCTGGTTGTGTCGCGGTGTTTTTCGTGAGGAGGGCTTAGGGTGTGTCACTCTAGGAGAGATGCGTACATTTGTGGCACTCGCACTGCAAAGCCAGACCTCCCAGAATGCAATCTGGTTTCACGGATGTTTTGGAAAAACTGGGAGGGGTATGGGTACTGGGAGGGGTATGGATACTGGGAGGGGTATGGGTATTGGGAGGGGTATGGATACTGGGAGGGGTATGGGTACTGGGAGGGTTATGGGTACTGGGAGGGGTATGGATACTGGGAGGGGTATGGGTATTGGGAGGGGTATGGATACTGGGAGGGGTATGGGTACTGGGAGGGNGAGGGTTATGGGTACTGGGAGGGGTATGGATACTGGGAGGGGTATGGGTATTGGGAGGGGTATGGATACTGGGAGGGGTATGGGTACTGGGAGGGGTATGGATACTGGGAGGGTTATGGGTACTGGGAGGGGTATGGATACTGGGAGGGGTATGGATACTGGGAGGGGTATGGATACTGGGAGGGGTATGGATACAGTCCCTGTAAGTGCTGTCCAACCTTGATACAAACCTTGATTAAGTCAGCCAGATTTAATAAATTTGACCATTGCGTTTTTCTCAAGATGCCCCCCCCCACCATGTTATAAATCAGTCCCGAAAGCAGCAATCCACTCCGGTTCCATTGAACATCTCGGAAGGGTCCGTGTTCTAATGTATCCCCGGGACCCGTGCTTGATGTTCCGGGTTCAGGAATGTTCCGCGCAGAGAGGTCACTGTCGGCGGCAGGCCGGGATTTATGGCATGCCGACGGCGTCCAGGGCAGGCGTGGCTCTGGAAAGCGCCGCCCGCCTCGTACCCGCAGCAGAGATGCCAGGCGGCGCCAGGGAGTAGCGCCTGGTAATTGAATTCAAATCAGGTTATGTTTAACTACTGCTTGGTCATTTAAATAACTGTTGCCTGTCCTGTGTCCCCCCCCCCCCTTCTGACAAGGGACCCCTCTTGCCCGCGTTTTTTTTCCCTCCTGTGGGGGTCTCAGGAGAGGGAGTGTGCAGGGGTGTGTGTACGGGGTGGAGGGGGGTGGTTGTCTCTGGAACTTCCTCTTTCGTCCTGTCTGCTAGGATGACAGCACTCCCCTGGGAAGGTGGGGGGAGTGAGGGGGTGGTAGGGAGGCAAGGGGGTTGTTTTGTGGATGGGGGGGGGGGGCTTTTTAAGGGACAATGAATGGAAAGATGCAGCCAGCATAGCGGAGCTTTGAATACAGTCATTAGGGCCCCTATGAAGCAGCTCAGCTGTCCGTTCTCTCATCAGTAATTTGTTTTAAATGAAAATCACCACTGACCCATGACTAATTCATTCATTTCCAGACACTCCATCTTATGTTCCTTCTACTCCTATGATCCGGATCCAAGACAACAGAGCCTGTTGGGGCTACACAACAGTCAGGGTTGAATTTTAATCCCGCGCACGTGCGCGCGCCGTAGGTGCGGGAGCGCGCGAACACCGAGATATTGGTGTTTATATTCATATTCACTTAAAAGCATGCAGTGTGTTCCTTGGTTTGCATCCATGCTGTACGGCTTTGTACCGTACACTGTACTGATGCACGGGAATGCAGTCGGCTCTCCATCGATGCCCGCGTGATGACGCCTTCGTATGAGCGCTATTTCTGTACCCCGCTAAATGTAATACACTACGCTATATGGGGCTGCCGTAAGTCATTTCTGACATTTACGGGAAAAAAAACTTTTATTTCTTACCAGCATAAATGAGCGAATATTAATCGTAAAATAGATCGTCAAATGCAGGCATGGCGCATCAACAATTTGGCAAGTATCAATGATTAAACATCGAATACTAAAATAATCAGCGGCGGAACCTAAGGACCCCCATTTGACAGGTTCAACCTGACATGATAAGCATGTTAAATAACCTTACTGAAAAGTAGACATTTTATGATATTTTAAAATAAACATTTATTGTAGATAGATAGGTAGATATATAGATAGATAGATGAGATTTTGTATCACTTTCCGAAACCAGTGATATTAGCGGCCGTCGGAAGCGCAGCGTTTGCGCCTCTTCGTTACGCGCCCGTTACTCCACTTGGCGCATGTTTGAGCGCAGATGTGAGCAGCGATGCGATCAGAGGGGCTCCCCCCCACGTAAAGCATATGCAGTGAGCTTCCCAGCGAGGCTATAGGAGCACAGTAATCATATTAAGTATATTTGGAGCAGTTCGTCGGTTAAAACATTGCTGTTTTCCTGCTCTACGCGAAGCACTCTATGCATAGCCTACTGCTTTTTGTTTTAATCTTCAATTTCAGTAATAAGGTACGATGCTTCCTCACAGCACAGACACAGCTGAAGACCGCCAAAATAGGGCAGGGAGATCTCATTAACCGGGGGAGGCAGGGGGGAGTTAAAGACTCAGAATGTGCTTCGGAGGCCGCTTGGTGCTTAGGGAGGCGAGGGCAGAGGGTAATAGACCTCAGAGGAGCGCCGGGAGTGAAATATTGACTAATATGTAAGACAACTGGAGGTGGAAATACCCGCTTACTGAGAGGAGAATTTGAGGAAAAGGACGAATAAGAAAAAAAACCTTAATGTATTTATTCCAAAATAATAAAGTTTAAACAAAATAGAGTAAAAAACTAAACTAAGCATTTCAAAATTTTCACATTGTTGTAAAATTGCTGTGCAAATGCAGTTTATTATATTATACGAGAAGAATATTTCCACAGTAGGGATTACAACGAATGTTAAAATACACATTTATTTTGCGACCTTCCAGAATGCATTCCAGTTAATAGTAGTGAGGTTTGCAAACACGAGATAAAATGCATTCAAATAATGTAGCGCTCCTACTTTACTTCACATGCAGTTAAACTTGTACGCATTACGGGTCATACCTGCAATATATGGCAGCAATAAAGCGGCTTTTATTAGACCGCGCCGAATATATTTAAACCCCCTTAAACGACTTTATTCTCAAGCTTAAAGCGACGGCGCGAAACTGTATATATAATAAATATATATCAACGACCTTGTTGTTTGCGCCCCGAGCGCCAACAGCGTTTTGCGCTTCTTTGACGAGCGGCTTTGACCTTGAGGGCGCCGCAGCGGCGGGAGCAGCCGCACCTCCGCCCTCCCCGCTGCCGCTCGCGCACACCCTCCCCGCTCCTTCCCCGCTCCCTCCTGGAGATCACCCCTGTCTTCCCAACCTGACACGCAAACCTGTCGCCACACACGACTCTCCAGTGACAAGAGAGAAAATATTAACAGTCTGGGTCTGACAACTGATGTAAGATAGCAATTACCCCACCAGTTTAAAAGTCTTTAAAATGCTGCCAATATCCCTGTTTTATTCTTTTTTATTAATAGTAATTGGCATCACTGCTACGTACACAGCTTAAAGAAACGGACATTTAAAGTTATTCATATGGTCAGTAAACCCACCAGGACTTAAGGATGCCAATTGAAAATAGGCAGGTTACTTTTTAATAGTAAATAGCATCATATTTCCACCAGGTTTAAATTTGCGACCAATATGGGGGGCCGGGGGGAGCAAGACCGTTTTGCTGGAACGTGAAACACTGAGTCCAGTCCACACTCCGGAAAGATGCTCATTGACAGCAATGTCTGCCCCCCCACTTCAATGGAAGGTTTCCTTTTGTGTTTTTTAGGAGGTGGGGGTTTGAGTGGCTCCCTCCCTACCTGATAAACACATCCCTATAATAATGTGCTCTTTAACCTGGAAATTCCTTTTTTCCCTTTTCATTTTCCAAATCCTTATCTCTGTCTCCACTGTCCTCTGCCTCTCCTCGCTCCCCCCACCCCCCCATCTCCCCACCCTGCCCCGTTCGGCTGCCTCTCTCCTCTCTTCCCAGCACCGCATCCCTCGTTCCTCTCCTCCGGCTGCTGCGGGGGGTTGACACCGGGGGTGCATGGGAGCACTCAGGCAGAACAGACGGGGGTGGGGGGGCACAGGAGAGGGCCGGGGGGCCCGAGACTGTCAGCCAAGGGAAAGAGCTCCCTGGAGAGGAAGAGAGAGAGAGGGAGGGAAGAAGAGAGGGAACAAGAGGGAGCGAGACAACAAGATAGAGATGGAGGAAGATAGGGAGAGCCAGGAAGAAGAGAGATATGGAGAGACAGAGCTAGGGAGGGAGAAAGGTATGATGAAGGGAGAGAGAGATGAAGAAGCAGAGGGAGGGAGAAAGAGATGGAGAGACAGAGGCAGGGAGGGAGAAAGGGAAAGAGGGAGGGAGAGAGATGATAGAGAGGGAAGGAGAAAGAGAGACAAAAGGAGGGAGGTAGAGGGAGAGAGATGGAGAGACAGGCAGGGAGAATGAGGGAGAGAGGGAGAAAGAGAGATGGAAGACAGGGAGCGAGAAAGATGAGAGGAAGGGAGAATGAGAGGGAGAGACAAAGGGAGGGAGAAAAATAGGGAGGGTGAAAGAGGGATGGAGGGAGAGAGACAGAAAGATGGAAGGAGAGAGATGGAGAGATAGAGGGATGAAGAAAGAGAGAGAGAGAAAGAGATGGAGAGAGGGAGGGGAGCTGGTGATGGGGTGAACAGGGAGGCCTTGAGAGGCCCTGGCAAGATTTGCCACCCTCACCGGAGAGACGTCAAAGGAGGCGCGGGGGAGCCCAGAGAAGGAGGCGCGGGGCACATTTACATAGCTGTCTAAGAGGCTTGATTTGCCCGCCATTGCAGTGAGCGCCCTGGCGGCCCGAGCGGCTCAGCGGGCGCCCGCGCGTGACGCCGGCAAAGGCTTTTTTTAACGCGCCGTTTTGCTCTCCGCTCTCTTGCAGGCAGTGACTTTTCCGGTAGTCCCTACTCCCATACGCAGTACTCCACCTACAACGAATCCTGGAGATTCACCAACCCCAGCTTGTTAGGTGAGTCACGGCGTCCCCCCCCCCCCCCCGTGCCGCCTCCAGGTGTGAGTGGTCTGCACGGCGCCCCCTCTCTGCTGGTGGGTGTATGACAGCTTTCCAGCATGTGGCGCCTATAGGAACGTCAGTGGCAGGTTGACATATGAGATTTTACGCCTTGATTTGGACCCTCTGTCCCGCCCTGTGTGTTCCATCACTTTGCCATATTTGTTTGGTCGCATCCGTGTTCATTTGGTGCCCGCTAACAAACGCCATCAAAATGTGCAGCCCTGTGACAATCCACCACTGGCCTGCGGTGAGGGGTGGTGTTTCTATCAGTCTTTGTCGATTTACGTTTGGAAGAATTATACCTATCCATCCATCTTCCAGCCGCTCCATCACTATAGGATTGCTAGGAGGCTTGGGGACAATCCCAGAATACTTAGCACACAAGGCAGGGCTACGCATGGAAAGAGTTGGTAGCCCATCACAGGACACACCTGCACGGACACGCTCCCACAAACAGTCACACGTTATGGGCAATTTAGAGACACCACATCGTCCAGAGGGAGTCTACATGGCATGGGGAGAACATGCAAACTCTACACACACAGAGCAGAGGTGGGATTCAAGCCCCCAACCCTGGCAGTGTGAGGAAACAGGGCTCCCCACAGAGTCCGACAGGGTAACATATTCCTATAACATACTCCTTAAATACCAACAAGCTGTATTTTTAGTAAACAGAGTAAGCGATGAGGGCAATATCATGCATCTGGGATGAATTTCAAATACGTGAAACTGTGAATAATCTAAGAATTTTGCAAGTTAGGTTACATTTGCAAACTCTCCATAGAGTCTTACTCATCATTTCTTGTGCTTGAGTACAGCTGAATTTCACACTCCTTTTGCCAAGCCGTAATCTGCAGTGCTTCAAATAGTCCTGAAATTAGTAGATGAAATCCAGGAGGCGGAAGGCAGTGGGAACTTTTACATCTTAACATCTTTCCCTGAACTAGCATCTGACTGTTCATTTTTAAAAACTCGATTCAGCAAAATACTAAACAGATTCAGATCCTCAAAGGTTACAAGTTTTTCCAGTACGTTTGTAACGAAGGAGATCCTAAGCAGAAAAGCTGAAAATTTACATCGAGTTCTCTGCCCTGGGTCCCATCCACACCAATATTTCCCCAAGCGCAGGTTCGACTTCAACAAAATGGACAAAATTCTAGCTGTAAGACGAACAGCTGAGCTGAAACAGTCTGACAGAAGAACCTTAAGTCTACGCCGTACGCAGTGTGTTGCTGTGGTTAACATCTCCAGTTGCATCCCAAACAGAAGAGGGGGGGGTTAGGTGGTCACAGTTTAACCGCTGTCAGGTACTGGTGTGACTTTATGGCCATGTATGTGTGTCGCTGTCCGTGTCTCTCGTGTGTCCGCGCTGTCCAGCCCTCTGGCTCAACACGTTATAAGTCAATAAAAGTCTCACGTACTGAGAAGCAACCTAAGATGGACAGTCAGTCTATATGGTTAAAAGTAGTATCTTTATTTGTCCTGTACATTTTATATATATACATACATCAAAGTTATTCATGCATTTCTGTACATATGTTTGTACTCTCTTTTAAAAATGCTCATTTGTGGGGCAGTTATTGAATTATTACAACATTTATTCTGACCTTAACTGCATATACTATGAATTTAGCTAATTGCGTTATGCAGTTTCAATTTAGCTAATAGCAGTAGGCAGTATGAATTCAGTTAACTGCTGTATGCAGTATGAATTTAGATAATTGCAGTAGGAAATATGAATTTAGCTAACTGCAGTATGCAGTATGAATTTAGCCAATTTCAGTATGCAGCATGAATTTAGTTCATTTCAGTATGCAGTGTGAATTTAGCTAATTGCAGTATGCAATATGGATTTAGCTAACTGCTGTATGCAGTATGAATTTAGCCAATTGCAGTATGCAGTATGAATTTAGCTAATTGCAGTATGCAGTGTGAATTTAGCTAATTGCAGTATGCAGTGTGAATTCAGCTAATTGCAATATGCATTATGGCTTTAACTAACTTCTGTATGCAGTATGAATTTAGCTAATTGCAGTATGCAGTATGAAATGGATATGAATAATTTCTGTGCAGATTGTTTGTGATATTAATTAATTCACTTTAGAAATCTTGGTATCTATTATAGCCTGTGCATTCACAATATACCAGAAGTTTCAAAATGGGATTAATTTTGTTTGTCGTTACTGTAGTGAAAGATTTGTGATTTGAGGTTTGAGGTGGACACTGGGAGCAGCAGCTGGGTGTCATTCAGCGTCCCATGCAGTCCCATGCAGTGAACAGTCCCATGCAGTACTTTGAATTCCTATATGAAAAGTTTATTCTCTTGGCCTGGAGACAGATATGGACACAGAGTCTGTGTTTGAGGGTGTGGCAGGATTGAGACCATGAAGACCCCCCCCATATCGCTGACCCATCCAGTGTCCTTTGCTCCCCTCAGTGTTCCAGCAAGACTATGGCTCGCGCCTGGGCCCCGAGATTGGATGCACCTCTGGGCTGTTTGCCGGCCAGTCGGGCCAAATGCAAGGTACGTAGGGAGCTCACTCCGCCGAGGGCGGCTGGAATACAAGGGGGGGCCACTTTCAGAAACGCTGGGCTGCTGGGTTAAGGTTCTCGTAGCTAAACAGAGTCACACCGTCTTCTGCTCCCGCTGGGACCCAATCGCCGGCTGTAGAGCCTCCCGTGACCTACCTGAGGGCCCTGTTTACGTTTCCGTAATTCTTAACCGCCAAGCCAGACAATCGATTCACCCTCAGTCCGGAAGTTTGTAGGACAGATGTTGCCACGTTTAAATTATTCAAATGAGATGCATAAATGTTGCCTCAGCGTTGAGGGCAGCCATGAGTAGGCGTGGCCTTTTAAGTTCAGCTGGGAGTCCAGCTCTGATTGGATCTGAGCTCTCTCACAGCATTAATGTGTTTGTCACAGTCATGTGATGAACCCCATGCGTCCTGGCTGGTCTGTGCAGATTGATAGGAGGAGGGTTTAGCATGGTGGGGATGGAATTGGACATCTGGTCTCCATGGTCACAGAGAAAGCATGATGGGAGGGATCCGACATTGAGAAAGACTGTTGGTTGCCATCCACTGTGGCATTTAGCTGTGGCAGTCACCCTGCTGTCCTCCATGACGGCACAGAAGACCATCCAAACCACGGCCTTAACATCCCCAACTCTCCAACTCATGCCCCCCCCCAATCTGATTCCCTCTCTCTGCCTCCTTCCATCCTTCTCCCTCCTTTCCGTTTCTGTAGGCCCTGCCATCTTTCTCTTCATTTCTCATGGCTAGGCCTCGCCCCTGTGGTGACCCCCCCCCCCCACCAGGGTAAAAGCGGAGTGTGTACAGGGAACTGCATCTGTGCAAATACACAGCTATGGCCTTATTAGCCCATTAGCTTAGCGAAACACCACTCTTCTACATCTGTCCTCGTTCAGATGGGACTCACACACATGCACCGGTCCCTCCATCCCTTCCTCTATGTTCTGGCTCCCCCTAATGAAGAGTAATGACTCGGCGGCTGCCCAGTGGGCTCCTTAAAGACGTTTCATCTCACCAGCTCATCAGCATTTAAGGCCGACGCTGTGATCGGGATTCATTCCTTATTTTGGAAACTGTTATTTTTCCCTCGTGGTGATCAGGACAAGCGAAAGAGGGTTTTAATTTTATCTGACAGTGATCGCACTGCCAAAAGCACTCCCCCTCCACTGCAGAAGTATGCAGTGTTATTTGGTCCTGGTTCACGGTCACAGAATGTGAACGCGAATCTCAGAGGTGCCTCAAATCTCAGAGCCCACGCGTGAGTGGACGTTCCCTACCAATGGCCTGCTAAATCCCCCCTCCCCCAACGGACCCCTCCACCTTGACAGTCCCAGGAGACCTGCCCCATTCTCCAGGCCACAAATGCTTCATCTGTGTTGGCCTAACTGGGAAGGCCAGTTCGGACCAATTTGGATTGCCAAGTAGTTTGTACCCTCTGACTGATAACCTACAGCGCCTCCTTCAGGTGAATGGAAGTGATTGAGTATAATTGGAAGTGGATTGAGTATAATGCAGTGAAAGGCTTTTGTCCATGTCCCGACTGCAGGATTGAGTGTAATGCAGTAAAACAAATTTGTCCATGTCCCAACTGCAGGATTGAGTGTAATGTAGTGAAAGGCCTTTGTCCATGTCCCAACTGTAGGATTGAATGTAATGCAGTGAAAGGCCTTTGTCCATGTCCCAACTGCAAGATTGAGCGTGATGCAGTGAAAGGCCTTTGTCCATGTTCTGACTGCAGGATTGAGTGTAATGCAGTAAAAGGCTTTTGTTCATGTTCCGACTGCAGGATTGAGTGTGATGCATTCAAACACCTTTGTCCATGTCCCAACTGCAGGATTGAGTAAAATGCAGTGGAAGACCTTTGTTCATGTTCCGATTGCAGAATTGAGCGTAATGCAGTGAAAGGCTTTTGTTCATGTTCCGACTGCAGGATTGAGTGTAATGCAGTGAATGGCCTTTGTTCATGTCCTAACTGCAGGATTTATGCTTTTCAGCATAGAGGCTTCGTGCACATGAGTGTAATGCAGTGAAACGCCTTTGTCCATGTCCCAACTGCAGGGTTCAAAATAATGCAGTGAAAGGCCTTTGTCCATGTCCCGACTGCCGGATTGAGTGTAATGCAGTGAATGGCCTTTGTTCATGTCCTAACTGCAGGATTTATGCTTTTCAGCATAGAGGCTTCGTGCACACGAGTGTTTCCATAACTGCTCTGTTGCATGAATTTGAGCGTCCCGATTATATACACATATCCAAGGGACTTCATCTACTCACAAGACACAGAAACATGACCCAGAGAATAACACAATATCCTGGCTGATCCATCCTTGCATTGATGGTCTGTCTTTTCTGCCATAGGATTAATGCACCACATTCAGCTGATTGAATAGTTGTCCGATTAGGTTCTTGCTTTGTTTGGAAGATGTCTTGCAGCTCCTACCCCAATACTGCTCACACGCATTCACTGCATTCACTGGAAGCTCATCCTATCTGCTCTTATGCCTAGTTTACTCTTTGACGGCATGTATTTTTGCAATGTGCTATTTGCCTCACTACTATTTTGGTTTGGACAAAAGTGCCTGCTAAATGTGTAAAATGTAAATGAATGGGAATGAAATGGGATTTCTAACTGGATAATCCCTGTCCCACTGTCCATCAGCAGCAGTGAGATAAAAACATCAGCGGATGTTACTTCTAGGGAAGATGTCTGCTCTCCTAGCTATGTTTTGTTGGGGTTGACAGTTTCAGGGCTGTTTTCTTGTTTCCTCCACAGGGTCTCCTTACTACTACAGTGCTGCCACCCGAGGAGCAGGACCGGCCGCCACCACCACTGCCTACGACCGCCACTGACCCACCCCGGGGGTGGGGGAGGAGTGGGGGGCGACGGAGGGAAAGCACCAGCACCGGCCCGCGTAAATCTGCCGAGAGGGTGGAGGGGGAGAAGGAGTCACTGGTTCTGAATGCCTTTCTCCATGACAGGCATACTCGCGGGCAGCCTCCGAGACCCCGGCCTGAGGTCTTTAAATATGACACATGCTCTCCCCAACCCTCCCTCGACCCTTCTCGAATCCAAAAAAAGAGAAACATAGATGGCCTTAAGGTCACTGTCCAGCCAGAGGTGCCCAACGCCGAACTGATGCCGATAATGAGAGCTGGAGTTGGGGGTGGTACCCTGACAGCTCATAAAAAAGATACCGATTTGTCACTCAAAACCGCCCATCATACACGGACCAATCAAAGGTTTACAACCCAACGTGTTGACCAATAATCGCCGACAGCAATCAGCACCGGAAGTGGCAGACTCAGCGTTTCATTTTTCTGCTGATGAGTTGAAAAGGAGAAAGCATACGAAATCTCGGCCGTCATTCCTGTATGGAACCAGCTTCCAGAAAAACAGCAAACACAACAATGGTTGTCATCACCCCAACTTCCCGCATGGGTTCTCTTCATCTGCCTTGCCCTTTGTCACCTCCGTCCTGAGGTGCCACTCAACGTAACGTGTACCGCTCCTCGCCTCCAGAGGAAGCCAGTTGCTTCTTGAGCGCCCCCAATGGGACTTCTTTCACATTACACTAACATGTCCCCCCAGACCACATTCCAGACTTCCACACGCGGGTACCCGGCGCTTCATGGTGTACACGCTGTGGAAATGGCAGACCCGTCCATCTCGCCAGTGGTAGCAGTCCCATGTGGTTTGGCCTAACGGGACAGGAAGTTCACGGAGATCAGGAAGCAGGTGGAAGCATGAGAGACCGTCCTCACAAGGCTGCTGCTCCCATAGGCAACTTGTATTCATCCCACCATATTCCAATCCCAGCACTTTTAGTAGATTCAACTCTTAACTCAGCTTAAGATCCCATTTTGAAATCACAGTAAATGTATCCTCCAGGGGACATCGCTGATAAGAGGCGGTGACCCCCCCACACCCATTCACACCCCCTTTTGTGTCCCTGGTTTGCAGGATGGGACCACTATGGTGACAGACAAAGAGACCATTTTCTCCCCCCGGGAACGAGGCCCAGCGTTTATCCGTCTTTAATGAGTATATATTGGCCTGAGAGTCTCCCAGTGGCTGAACTGAAGCGGTCTTGCCAGTTTAGATGATGATTGAATTGATGAAGAGCTGGCAGCAAAATCCTCTGGCGGAATTGAGAATCTTTTCTTTGTGAGACCCTGTGTAGACACTTGGGTCCTGTGCCGGTGTGCGCATGATTTTCTTTGCTGGAGTGGCATTTGCTCACTGTGGATTCAACCGCAGAGGGCTTTGGTGTGAGATGATGTCGTCTGTCTTGCCATTTATTGATCTACATGCATTCTATGGGGAAACACAGATGTAAAACATCTCGCTGACTTTTCTCTTGCTTTATTTCCTGTTCATACCCTGGGGGATCTGACATCCTGCTCCAAAAGCTACTTTAGACTGTTGAGACACACGGAGTGGGCATGTTATAAACTCGGGTTCGATGGTGGGAGGGGAGAAACAGAGTGTAGACAGTGACTCTTCCTTCCTGAAGAACCATCGAGCTTACTTCTCGATGTACAATGTGGAGCTTCCTTCTGGAGGAGCAGAAGTTTGAGCGTGTGAAGGCCTCTCTTCCACCTCATGTCCCTTGATGTTTTTGTTCCATGACATATAGAACCCTACAACCACCTGGCGCAAATTCACGTATGGACATACAACAGCCCACAGATCTCCAACATCATTTCAAGCATGTCCTGGTGTACATGACCTTGGCCAGCCAGATATAATAGTCTTAAAATAGTACAATAATGGCAGATAACATGGTGAGCGGAGGGTACAGTGGCTTGATAATCTAGCTAAAGAACAGCAGCTTTGGATTTAGGGCAGAAGGAATGGGGAGAAACCTTGAGGTGATTATCAGTTGGAAATGCGGCAATTCCTGCTCTCTTGTTCGTACCAGACGTTTTGAAACAATTCTTTACTCAGGGTAAGACCTTCAGCATTATTCGAAAGGGTGCCTTGGCAAAATGTAAGGGTTAAAGAGCACTCTGAGGGAATGAAGAACGTAGACGTTACAGGACAGTTTGGAAGTGCGACATGCCAAACGCCCATGACAATGTCAGTCGGTTGGCGCGGAATTGTCCCGTGATGAATGCTTTTCCCAGGAAGCAAGACTTAAGCACAACGACAATGAGCCCAATCGACATTCAACAATGTTGTACATCTTCTCCAGACAACCTACCTTGATATCCTGTTAGAAGTGCATTCGGAATGATGTCACTCCCTTTGTACCACTACTAACTAGTACAAATGTATCCAATAGCATGTAAAGATTATACGTATAGGAATATATTTATATATGTACACCGAGTATGTACAGAACTCCAAAAACTGACTTAAAGCACAGAAATGTAGGTTCTCTCTATATGCAGAGCATTTGAGTAGGATTTTAATGTGTCTTAAATGGGTTTAGATGGTGAAGAGTTTAATATATTTCTACGGTAGCCTAAACATGACCAGTGTTCTGTAGAAGGTGTGGGACAGTGAGTATGGTAGCAGGGTACGTTAAATAAAACACAGGAGCCCACGACAGCCATAGTGAGAAGCCATCGCCCAGTTACTCTTCTCTCCAAGTTGTTTGCAAATTTAGTTGTCACCTGTTGTCTGTGATCCTTGGCTGTCTTGCCCATAAGAGACTGAGGACACAGGGAAAGTGCATGGTATCTTGATACCCAATGCAACCTCCACGTCATATCAGAGTTTTCGCAAGTGGCAGGGGACAGGTCGAGACGTCCAAGGTAACTGAAGACCCGCATCCGGGGATGATTGCCTTCACTGGCAGTGCCACGCAGGGCGCTTCTCAGGGCTCGGCCCTCTCTGTAGATTCCCGCATGCCAGGCCACAGGGTGGCAAGGGGGGGAGACACTGTGTCCCAAGATCCTCTGGTCCCCTGTAAAACCATGTGACACAATGGATGACCAAAAGTATGATGAACAGTGACCTTCATTGAAAATGCCTCCCTTTGTGACTAAGTAAGACCTTTAGCATCAGTTCGAGCATTGGTTCAAGCTCTGATGAGAGGATTATTTTGCTTAATACCTGTTCAGGCTCTCAGTTTGGCTGAATGAAATCATCACGGCACAGGGAAGTGGTGTGTGTGAAGTTCTGGGATCTCACCTGGAGCTACACACCTAAATCACATGAGGCAGTCCGATTCATTTTTGATGTTTCCTCTATGTGTTGCAGTGTCATCTTCTGAATCTAAGCATCATCTTGTGAATCCATGCGTTTCTTAGGCTAACTTGCGCAGACACAACCCATGGAACTATCAGAGCAGTGTAAAAATTTACCTTATTCCTTCTATCCGAGGAGCGACGCACCTGAAATACACCAGCTAATTTCCAGGACAGTGCCTTCTCTCAGCGTCAGTGACATTCTCATACATCCTACTCTCCTGTGATTGTCAGCAACCCAAAGTCATCTAGTGGACTCGAACGTCCCCAAAAAGCTGCCAGTGTTTAATGATTTCCTGCTGGGAAATTCAACTATTGATGGTCATGTGGTTTATTGCACTAAACGCAGAACCTTCGACAGACAGGAAAAACTCTAGGGGGCTATTTCAGAAAGAATAACTTTTCAGCACAAGTTTGCCAGTAGTCACGGAGCACAATCAAGACCCAAGTTGCCTGTTTGCTTTGGGTTATGAAGCTTTTTTTTTTTTTTATTGAATTATGATGCTACAAGCAGTATTAAAACATATGCAGATCAGATTTACAGCTCTGGTATTGTAACCGCGAACAGCCCCGACTTTTGTTCTGTTGGTGTGAACTTCTTTGGAGCACAAATCTTGATCCTGAAGTGCAGGACTGCTAGACAGTGTTATCATACCATAGCAGAATTGTAGTGTAGATTTCACCCGTCCTCACTGGACCATTTCTCATCCCCAGTGTCCTCTTGTGTTGTATGTCTATTTGCTGTATGGCCGTTAATGAGCACCCAACATAGGCGTGTGACCTTCTGCGAATGTTCCGCTGACTTGAACTCCTGTTATGTGTCTGAGGTCCTGAAGTCCAAATCAATGCTTCAGGAACACAGCAAACAGAACCTTCAGCTTAGGCCTCCTCCAGCAGTTAACACCGAGTTTAGCTAGTTGATCCTTAACTAAAGAGGGTTGCCTTGACCCTGGTTTGACCCAAGCTCAGGTGAAGTGAAGCACAGTAGAGCTGTCATGCTAACACTCTGAAAGGCATGACTGGGGATCTGTACTTCCTTACCTGCTGTGTCCTCTGTGGCAGTTGGGGGTGGAGTGGGGGGGGGACACCGGCCCTCAGGGACCGTAGACCTGCTGTGCCATCAGAAACCACCCTCTCCATCTTCATAAAATCAGCTGATCGCTCCCCATTCACGCAAGATCAAATGTGCTTACCTCCCTGAAAAAAACGTGCCCCATGTCTCCTTAGCAAAGGTTATTTCGATATCATTCAAAATTGCAAATCCTTAAAAAAAAAAAAAAAAAAACTGAATAAAATCAAAAAAGTGGGCGTTATATTCACGGGCCCTGTCCAGTTTTCATACTGGCCCTCATGAATAATCTAGGATGCAAATAATGGGAGGTATATTTATGTACCACTGCGTAACCCACTGCGCAACCCACTGCACAACCCACTGCACATCTATCAGCACGGCGCCCAGTGAGTCGTCCGCACGATTATAAACGGAATTATAATGAAGCAAAAAGTGACTTCATTACAGCGGTAATTGATTTTCTGGGCTTTGTTCTTACTCTTTGGTCTGCTAACCATTCGCTCCTACTGACAAAAAAATCCCTTTGAGCCAATCACAATGTATAATTCTTCTCATTAGATTCAGCAGAACGCATTGTTGAAGTTCTGCGATTTTAATAAGTCTGTTCCAGGAAGTACAAAAAGAATTATTATTAGATTTTTTTTTAACTCCTGTGAGACGAAAAAAAGGCGCAATACAGCAAGTGTGACATGTTAAAGTTGCTCTTAATGTAACTGAAGAATGAAATGTTTGGGGGGAACACACATTATGACATATAAAATAGCAAGGGTTTGCGTCCTTTGATTAAACACTGAAATAAAGGACTGTTTTATTCTGTCTATTCCTACATGCAAATATTATCACATTTTATAGGGGCTAATTGGTCTCTGATTCTAATGATCCCATTTCATGCAAAGCTATGGACTTCTTCAGGGGGCATCAAGGATTAGGCCTTCATAGTTGTCTGAACACCTCAGCAACAATTTAAAATGAATGAAATTTAAAAGGAATTTCTTGCGCAATGGGAGACCGCCTCGGAACATTTGAAAGTCACTCCCGTACATCCCGTCTCTCCGTTTACATACCGGGATCCTTCAGTTCCCAGGCGCAAGAGATACGGGCAGCCTATCATCTCGCGACAGATTGAGACGCTAATCCCCGCTCACCGCGACGGGCTACCGAGATTTCGGAATCGGAGGGGTGGCGGTTCGCTCGCTGCAACTGGGGGGCTGGGATGCCAGACTGGGGGGGGGTCTAGCCTTTACTAAGGATTTCCAAAAAAAAACAACATAGATGTCCTGGTTCTCACCTTACAGTGGCCTTTCTGTACACCCTCGTTACGTTGTGTCCGTGGCTTCTTCTGTTCTGGAGTGTTGAGGATATTTTATACCGACTAGGTTTTTGGAGAAAAATACGCTGCGAGTAAAGCAGGCGAATTTGTAAATCGAAACTCGTCAACGTTAAAAAATAGCTAAACACAGAAACACGTAAATACTAATACATATCTATAGCATCCACCAAAGTCTGAGATGCCAGTTAAAAAAAAAAGCTTCACTTGTAAAGAATTGAAAAAAAGTAAAAAAAATACATTGAAAATGCCTTGAAAAGGATGGAGACGACAAAGAAAAAAGGATAACCTTCGTAAAGAATCCTTCTTTAAGAAATGTGTATGTTTTCTATTCAATTTTCTAGTAGCTAAAACAAACTTGGTGTTCTTTCTTAGTGTTGTGTGTTGCTTTTCGTGTCATAATATTTGAATGTACTTACAGCAGTGCCAATTTGCCAAAGATATACAGTATCGATTAATTTCTCTCTCTGATTTTGTTTTCCGGGTTGTTCACGCTGGAAATTGTGACTTAAATATCATTATTATTTTGATTGCTATTAATATTATTATTATGTTTTTTATTTCTTTTGAGAAATTAAATTTTATTTCAGGTTTTTTTTTAATAAGATATGGTGAATTGCAGCCAGCTGAGGATGACTCAGCACAAACCTGCAATGTTATGAAATTGTAGGCTAATCAGTATATATGTACATCTGTTCACCTGAGTGACTGTCCTTGTGAATTATCGATTTATGTACCAGTAATGTGAAGCAAAAGTAATTATTTGTAAATATTTGCCATAATTTTATTGGTTCCTAAAAATAAAAGTAATTTTTTTTAAGTTAAAAGGTCCCCTGTGGTTGTGCTCATCTCAATGGTTCCTGTCTCATGTACCATGTGACCCGCAGACTGCTGGGTGATTGGTTTTTCACATGAAGGTCACATGATGTGATTGGTGGCTGATATGGAGAACATTAATGAATTAACTAGGGATTATTTGTAACGGTGAAGATTGGGCTCAGTCAGCTTCAAACTGTGCATATTAATTATTGCACCTTTATTTCAATTCTTTAGTACTGAAATAATGATGTTTCCGATTATTTTACAGTCGAAACATACACCACCCCTCCCCCCCTAAAATGCCGAGGCTGAACTTCTAGCCCAGAAGGGCGGGGGCCGGGCTGGAGGGGCCGGGGCTCAGGGCGATGCTGGCTGTCCTGCTGGCGGCCCGGGGGCACTTGGCCGGAGTCCCAGGCGGGTGGGGGGGGTGGGGACCCGGGTGATAATGGGACACATGCGGAACGACACGCCACACGCATGCTAAACAACATATGCCCAGCTTGAGGCCGAGTAGCGGCCAGGATGCTGTTTGGGCCAGTGCCCAGGTCTGTGTGTGGGCATGGCAAGGGAGGGCACCGGCCCCCCCTACAGCTGGCAGGCCGTCACAGCGGGGGCGGGAAATGGAGCCAGGATGCCAATGGGGGCTCATCCCTCGGGGGCCCGGCCAGTCAATCATGTCGGCGACACAAGGCCTATAGTGCTCAATCTTCAAAAGGGGCACTGACTTAGCAAACCACTGCCACTCCTCCCCCCCCCGTACAGAACTTCAACACCCCCCCTTCATTGCCTAATTTCGCTTTTTCTCAGACAGTCTGTGCTGGGGGGCAGGGAGCAGGTGCCAATGGTGAAGTTTGCCTTGGGTGGCCAACATCATCGCCGTTTAGATCCCACTGGCACGTAGACAGCCCTAATCTCCAAGCACCCCCCAGTGCCGGAAAAGCCGCACCGGGAGGCTCTGTCGACGCCGTCACGCATCCAAGAGCCTTTCCGGTATCAGGCAGGGACGAGCCCAACTCCCTTCAAACTTTTTTTTTTTTTTAGGCAAAGGGGGAAAAATTACTTGCATAATGTTCCAAAAAGCTTATTTAAAAACAGTTGAATAATAAGGGCGAGCTGTTCCAACCCCCCCCCTCCCCCCACCCTCCCTCTTAGGCGAGCGGCTGAAGTTCCTCTGAGGGAGCAGGAGTCAGGCAAATTAACGCCACTCAGTGCAGGCCCACAGCGCACCAGCAGAGCCGCGCCGGCGAGTCGCGCAGTAATTGCTCTCCCTTATTAGAAGAGAAGCCGTAACGGGTGCTGGGAGAGGGGGGAGGAGGTGAACAGCCCCCACCCGCACAGAAGAGACGCCCCAGTGCCCCCCAGCGACGTTGCCTTTTAAAGGGAGCCTTAACTGGTTTTTCTGATTTTACCGGATGCTGAGATGGTCCCGCCAGGAAGGACTCTGGACCACGGCGACTGCAGGGGAGGTTACAACACGCTAAGTTTGTTGGGTCCGACGTGCGTCTCACAAAAATCACAGTCAGGAGGGAAAGCGTAAATGGCGCCCGAGTCCATTGCAGACAGCTAGTTTTACAATCAGCCAAATTTGGTTCCAGATTATTAATAACATCTTAATGATGTTTTGATACAAAGTGTCGACTTCCAGACAGAATTAAAAATCGGGTCAGATTTTCCACTAAAGATGTACAAATATCAAAGAATGTCAAGATAAAAACTGGAGATAAAGTTATTTCTGTGTTGGATTTAAACTGACTCTACATTGGCGTTGGGCCAAATTCAGCGTCAATTCCCTGTTTATCATTTTGATAAGTTTATCAGCAAGTTAGAATCACTAGTCAGCTATGAACAGCTGATAAACACAAAAAGTATTTTGACTCTTTGTATGCAAATCTGAAATTCTTAGTTATCTTTTACAAGCTCTTTGCGGATTAATTGGACATTGGTAATTAGCAAGCCTTCCGGCTTGCTTCCTGCTGTAAACGTCAGAGTTTAAACAACGAGGAAAATGGTGAGGTGACCGCTTTAATCCATGCAGCTCGGAAATAAAATGAAGGCTTTTCACTCGATTGACAAGCAGATGCAAAGTGACGCTGGACGCCCCCCTGTAGACAGAGAGACCCCCCCGTTGCGCTGGTGTCGGATACCCAAGGCTGGGTCACTCATCCGACGTAGTGTCACCTGTCTCGCTAATCTCCAGGAAACTTAAGAGAATTAAAAGCGAAAAGTCTGGCAATTTTTGTTTGCTAACTAACCGACCGGATGTGAGGTCCGCATTTTAAAATGCTGCAAAGCAGGCCGAACAATTTTGAAATTTGAATGTATGAAGTTCTTCTGCTGCCACTCACTGGAAAAAATTGAAAATTATTTATATATATTTATCTCCTTAGTATTCCTTTTCAGGATAGTGTTTGTACCGTGAATTTTTCATTCATTTGCACCATGTATGTCTGCACTTTGTGTACCGCCGTTTTACTTTGTTTTGTTTTGCACTACACGTTTGTTTGTCTGCACTGTGTCTACCATTGTGTCACTTTGTTTTGTTTTGCACTACATGTTTGTCTGCACTATGTGTACTGACTTATCACTTTGTTTTGTTTTGCACTACACGTTTGTCTGCACTGTCTACCATAATTTCACTTTGTTTTGTTTTGCACTATGTTTGTTTGTCTGCACTATATGCACTGTCGTTTCACTTTGTTTTGTTTCACACTACACACTTGTTTGTCTGCACCTTATCTACCTCACAGCTGTATACACCAGCATTTCCCCCTGGGATCAACAAAGCATCTCATCTCATCTCAAAGACAAAGGTTTGGATTCAACAACGATGGGGACCAAATCGGCACCTAACACCCCCCGCCCTGATGAAATCATCCTTATTTGGCTGGCGGGGGAGATTTGGGAGAGCAGCGAAGTTTCATCGCAGGCCGTGGTGGGAGGGGGCGGTGTTGGTGTGTGCCGGACTGGCACGGCAGTGCTGAGCCGGTCAGGGTTTGACGCACAAAGCCCAAGGCCCAGAAGCTTGCATGGGGAGTGCCTTTCAACTCATTTCAACTTAGCGCTTTATCTGGCGCTGTCCCTTTAATGAGACGTAGGAGTCACCTCTCAGGGAGACACCTGACAGAAGTAAAGGAGCATAAAATCGTGACCTGTAACTAATAATAAAACCTCACAGGCATGAAATTCATCCGGGGGAGGGGGGAAGCTCCCTTTTCTGTGAGCCGGCTGACAAAATGGAGGCAGCTCCTTTCACTCGCATATTGGGGGGTCGTGAGGGTGGAGGGAAGGGGGGGGATCCTTTAATCGCAGAAGAAGCGGCTGGCGAGGAAGGCACGGCGGTGAGTCGGGCGATGTCGACCACACGCCGCTCGTTACCGTCTTTGTGCTGGAGGTCAGAAAGCTCAGGGAGGCGAAGCCTGTGGCGGGGGCGGCATGCGAGGGCTGGGGGGGGGGGGGGGGGGGGGGGGGGGGGGGGT